GAATTTTCAAAAGTTTTTTTACCGCATTTTCCAATAAAGATTTTTTTTTTTTAGGATCGAATGATTTAAAGCAAGGTTTTAAATTTTTTTCAAGAATTTTATCATAAAAGGTAGATAATTCATCGTATGAATAATTTTCATTTGAATTTATCTCATTTTCAATAGCCATGTAGCACATGTTAGCAATTTCTTCTTGACTTTCATCTTTTTCATGGTCATCATCGACATTTTCATCCTATGTTACTTAAAGTGCTTTCTTTTTGACGAATCTATTCATTTCTTAACCATTTTCTTCTTCCTTTTGGAGTAGACAATTGTTGCGGAAACTTTTCAATTTCTTAACAAAAAGAATTAGATTATCAAGTTTTTCATCATTTAAATTTTCGCTTGAAGTGCCTTCATCAATTACGAATCTTAAAGCAAATTGGCGCCTTTCATTTTCTTTGCTTTTCATTGTCTTCTTCTTTGTCTTGGTGTGGTTTAGCTCATATTTCATCAATATTCCATAAAACTCTTCCAATGGATATGTTGATATCTTTGATATTTTCTATCAACATTATCAACGAACTCCAATTCTTTGAGAGAGACTTAAGCATTTTGCTCACAAGTTCACCATTAGTAAATTTCATATCAAATCCTTTAAAACTATTAACAATAGCGGTAAAACGAGTGATCATATAAACAATTGGTTCATTTCACTTCATGAAAGTTTTTTCAAAATCTTTAATTAAGAGATTTATCTTAGTTTTTCTCACTTTGCTAGTACCAACATGAGTGACTTTTAATGCATGTCAAACATCATATGTGGAATCACATGTACTAATACGATTAAATTCATTTCTTTCAAAACACCAAAAAGTAAATTTTTGGTTCTAGCATTTAAAGAAAATTTTCTTTTATCCTCTTCATCATATTTCTCACTAGGTTTAGAAATTATTTTATCCGATTTACCATCCTCTTTAATAACATTTTTAGGCACATAGAGATGAAATTCAATAACTTTCCAAACATTATAATCTATAGATTGAATATAAATTATCATCCTAATTTTTCAATAATTTAATGCGTGCCATAAAAAAAAAAAAAAACAATTTGTAGCATGTCCCTCAATGTTTTGAAAATTGTAATTAGCCATTACTCAAGATTGTGAAATCTTTAAAAATGAGTACCTTGCTCTGATACCAATTGATGGCCCACGAATAACTAATCAAGATAGGGTGAATTACTTTTTAAAACTTTTTTGAAAAATTAATCTAAATTCAATCAAACAAAGACTAAATAGATTAATTTAAATAATAAGCACAAATATGAAAGTGATAAGTAAAAGTGAAAATGATGCAAACGATATAATCGTGGATGTTCGATCCAAAGTAAGGATTTACGTCCTCCGTTACCAAGCTTTCTGAATAAATTTTGTGGGCCCATGTCGATGTTCTTGAAGAATGGTATAATGAATACAAGAAAAAGAGGTATTTACAGAGTTCAAAACGTCACAAAATTTGTGAGTTCGGATGACCCGTCCGGTTGATCGTCTTTTGTCCCAATGATCGGAATAGTCATTTGTTACGTAAAAATCAAATGTCAGAACGATTAAATTTTGGACCATTGAAAATTTTAGATCGACACATCTTTTAGTCAGTTGACTGCCTTTTGGTCGACCGCCTCTTCCAACTGGTCAATCGCCAGACAATTTTGGTCGTTTTATGTTTTGGCCCCCTTTTCATTCGATTCGAAGGTTTTGAAGGACATAGACTTTTGGAAAGTATTTTTAACTAACTTTTCAAGATAAAAGTTATTTTTCAAGTTCAAAATTTATTTTAAAAGTTTTTTTTATATTTGATCAAAATATTACATTAGAATGACTTTTAATGCACAAAATTATTTTTTAATGCATAGAAGGATTTTGAACTTGAGTATTCTTGCCCAATATTAAAGTGTTAGTACCTTTACACTTTATCTAGTCTTTGATCTTACTCCGAAGTTTGGCTCCTAAGTTCTTGAATGTGTGACTTCGATTTCAACCTCCTTCATGAGTCCGGTTTGTATCGATATGATGTAGGATAAAGAATTCCAGCAGAGAACTTAAAAAAAAGCAGAATAGCAGAACCAGAGGAAGAATTCCAGCAAAAAGAAGAAGAAGGCAACAAGTAGAGGGGTGAAACTGGAGAGAAATGGGGAAGAAATCAGGGAGAATAATAGGAGAGAAGAATGCGTTGGCAACCAGCTACGATTCAATTTTCATTCTTTCATCATCGCCCCCAAAGTTTACAATACTCCCATATATAAAACAAAACAATAACCCTAAAAGTAAAGGGCTTTGGGCTAGTCCACTAATAATATAAGTCCAACTAGATAAAATAAAAGTAAATAATCCAATAACAAGAAGCTGATCATCAGAAATGTTAATAGAAGGTTGTTACTCTTCATGGATTTTGGAGAAATTGGTGCGGGTGCGTGGGTTTTGGGAAGATGACATGAAGAAATTTCTAGAATATAAGTGAAATATTTCCCAAGTTTTAACTCTGATACCACTTTGATGTAGGATACAGATGAATTCCAACAGAAAACTTAAAAAAAGCAGAAAATAAGTAGAATAACAGAACTCGAAGAAGAATTCCAGTAAGAAGAAGAAGAAGACATCAAGCAGGGGGGTGAAACTCGAGAGAAAGGGGGGAAGAAACTGAAGAAAAGAGCAGGGGAGAAGAACACGTTGGCAACCAGCCATGATTCAATTTTCATTCATTCATCATCCCCCTCAAAGTCTACAATACTCCCATATATAAAACAAAACAACCCTAAAAGTAAAGGGCTTTGGGCTAGCCCACTAATAATACAAGCTCAACTAGATAAAATAAAAGTAAATAGTCCAATAACAAGAAGTTAATGACCGCATCATGATAACTTTTGATCCATCAATCAATTTTGCATCGCATGCTTTGAAAAATTATAATTATTTGAATTCAACGTGTTAGTAAACAAGATTTAACTTTTTTGTTATAATCAAACTTTAAGGTGATAATCAACCATAGGTCAACATTATCGTGGAGAGAAACAGATGAATCCTTGCACCAAGTTCCCCGCTTTCAAGGAAAAGGAAGCTAAAATTATAGAGCCAGAACCGGATAGAAGTAAACCTGCTGATAAGCAGGGAAGAAGAAGAACTTCACATTCATTCAACTTAAGGAAAATACATTGCAACATATTCTATTTATAGAAGAAAATACTAACCAATTATCTAACAAACTAACAATCTAACAAACAAAGGAAGAGACTAGAAGAAACTAGAAGAAAGCTGGAAGCATAAGCTAAATTCTGTTACTGATGAACGTGTTCTGATGTTGCACATGCTGGTAAGTTGGTGAGGCTGCCTGGACTTGCTGTTGGGCTGCTTGACTGTTGGGCTGATTTGGATTTTATATTCCAACATTATCACCCTAAACACTTTGGTTCATATGGATTTTCATCATGTCCAACTCCAAGTAATTGAATATTATATCCTTTTTGTCCTTTTAATGCCCCCTAATTTCAAGATTTGATTATTTAAAATAAGATCTATCAATAGTCGTGTTAGATCATCAGTTTAGATAACCATACATAAGACGTTCAATTAAATGAATCATGTGATAATACATTTAAGTGTATCTATCATTTAAAATCATGCAATTATCTTCCGAACTAATGCTTGACACTAATAATAATGAATAACATTAGTCTCAAAATAATTTAAAAAAAAAACACTCACTTTTAAAAAGACTTTTAAAGATGTTCTAAAATAATTTATTGCGAATAAAGGTCATCCCGTCTCCTCTTTTTTTCTTTTCCTCTTTTTTTCTTTTTTCCTTTTTCCTTTTTCCTTCCTTCATACCTTTCTAACAGGACGTTCCGACACTTCTCACTCTTCTCAGCCAACCTAAAAAAGCAAGCTTTTTTCGACTTTCGTGTACAAACACAGGCACCTATTATCCTAATAAACAATTAAAAAAAGGCGTTTTTAAGTAAATTCATACATTTAACTCCCCCAATTTCTTAAATTTTATTTTTCTAATTAATTATCAATATTATATTTCATGAATTTTACAACTTTTATCAACTAAAGTTGTCAAATTGCTAGCTACTCAGCACCAATAAGGATAGGAAAATAAAATTTTGTTCAAAATTCAATAAAATTCGATAATATTTATTAGATATGCTTTTGATAATATTTATCTAAGAATAATGCTACTTGTACACACCAATTTTTTTATTTAATTGAATAAATTCTGATCCAATCACAGTACAACCGTTTATCCAATATGCATTTGAGCCCCTGTTTATCTTCTTATACAATATATATTTTTTTAATTCTCATACATATTTTTACTTACACATTCATACAATAAAATATCTTACACGTAAATTCAAATCTTTTTCCTACTTTTTTCATCATACATTATCCAAGAAATTACTATTCAAAACATAATTTTTTTTCTCAATAATGACTAGTGGTTGAACTTGAATATTAGAGCTTGTTTGGGAATGATTAAAATCCAATTAAAATTAAAAATATAACTGTTATTGGGTCTCACTCGTCTAATAAAAATCAAGACTATATTTTCAATTTTAATCTAATTTTAACTCCCCAAACAAGCTCTTAATCTTCCCAACTTTTTTTAACTTCTTTGATAATTTAGTTAATTTCCTACTTTTAACTTTTAAGTGAAAACTTTAATAATCGAGCCAATTATGGGCCCACAATATTTGGTAAGGAAAAGGACAAAGATATAAAATCCAATGATTGATACACACCAAATAAGTAATAATAATTAAAAAGAAAAACCCTGAAAAGCCAAAAAAAAAAAAAATTTAAAAAAATTAATAATAATAAAAATTCCACTTCATTAGATAATAAAATCCTCCAAATCACTGTACATTATGATTATTTATCAACTAAAATTAAAATAAATTTCCATAAAATAACACGAAATATGAAATCAAACTGAATTTATTGAATTTCGGTTCTATCAAAACCTTTGAATTTTATCAGCCTTTATTATAGGATTAGCCTTGGCAATAGCTTCCCTTCCTTGTACCTTGAAGTCAAAGGTACAATCATGCTTCTCCGGATACCTGTGCGTCCCACAGAAAAAATTACCGCACTTGCACTTGAACCCTGTCAAGCCCACCTTTTTGTTACAACTCAAACACCTATTGCTAACCACCTTCTTCTCCTCCGCCGCCACCACCGACGTCACCGCCTCCTTTACAACTTTCTCTTCCACCGCTGCAGATGATGGGCCCACGATACCGACGATCTTTTCCATGGCAATCTTGGCGGAAGCGGCTCCTTCCTTCTCGATCCGTACATAAGAGTAACACTTCGAGCAGAGACCCATCGTCGCTGCAGAGCCGAAGAATCCGCAGCCGTTGGCGCAAGGAGACGGCTCCGATGGCTGAAAACTGGTTCCGTCGTTGATGTTGTTTCCTTCTGAAGAACCCATCTCCTTTTTTTCAATTGAATATCGACAACTGATTGAATCTTTTGTTCTTGATGAAAAATTTGTTAATGGATTCTTCAAGTTGAAGAGTCTATGAAAGCGAAGTCAATAATTGCTATATTAAAAACTAATGAATTGAAGGCATGCGTAGTCAAAAGTTTCTTATATAGAGAACGGCATGGTCTTAAATGACTAATTTGCCCTGAAATTAGAGCGAGTTGTCTTTCAGTTTCAAAAGGGTATTTGTGGAATTTGACATGGGAACCGACTTCCTTAATACGTTTCCTTGATTACATATGGTAGGTGGCTGGTTGCAATAATTTCTCTACTCGGTGCAACCCAATTGACACAATTACCCCCATAAGCTGAACATTCTACAGGTTTCGCAAGGGTAACTATGGTATTAAAATTTTAACAAGTTTCCTTGTGTGACAGAGAAAGGAGATTGCCCCCAAAAAGGGAAAAGATGTCTGTCCATGTAATATTTCAACAATTTACCCTCTATCAGTAGTTTTCTTTTTTCTGAATTTGTTTTCATTGATTATTGATTTTATGATTTTTGTTTTAAATTTTGGAAAAAAATCTAGAAGGTGAAATCACCATCGTCTCCAAGCATACAAGTCATCGATCTCCTCTTGAACAAGCTTCAATGGGGGTTTTAACACTTGAAGAGCAGATCATTTATAACATCTATTCCTTCATTTTCTTTTCGGATGTATATATATATTTTATTAAATTACAATAATTATTTTTATTGTTTATAATTATATTTAGGGAGATGCTACATGTACTACACGGGGTACAAAATGGGTTACTACATGGCCAAATGGCGGCCATGTATTGGAGGGTCGGCTGTGGGCCCCAACCCATTTTGTACAATTTGTAGTACATATAACATTTTCCTTATATTTTCTCAAGCGACAAAACAAATACTAAGGCCAGGTAGCTTGACTCACATTTTGGTTAGGGAATCATCTTCGAGATGAACTTCAGGTATTTTATACATGTTTTCTTGACATTTATCTTTTTATTTTCTATTGATTTCATTTTTCTTCCCAATAATTTGCCAAGTTTTGAGCTATGTTATTATTATTGTTCTTATTTTGTTTTTACCCTAGGCTTTCTAATTCTCTACAAATAATGGTGTGCAAAAAGATCCACATCTAGTTTAAAGAAACGCCAATTGCTACTCATTTTTGTAGGCTTCCCGCCATCTAGTGGAGTCAATTAAAGGTAACTTGGCAACCGAGCGGACAAATCAAAAATTTCAAATTGGGACAAATTAAAGGAATATATGAACTATACTTAGGGTGTGTTTGAGCCACATTATTTTGAAAAAATATATTATGAAATAGTAGATTGATGGAGAATGTGTGGTTGAAAATGAGTAGAAGAATGAAAATGAAAAAAATAATGTGTACCAAACAAGGTTCTGGCATAATTTCACACACCACTTACATATTTAGGAAATTCAGAAATAAATCTTACATGTTTTTTTAAGTTAAATTTAATTAGATAGAATTTAAAATCAAAATTGAATAGTTTTCCTTTTATTATAAATCGGCGGCTAATATTGCACAAGTAGTCGGTACTAGGAGAATCTGGAAGAGTCATCTATTTGGAATCTTCTTTTTTTACCAATTATTATACTCGTAGACTTAGGACTTTCTGTTAGGTTATAAAGACGATTCTGTCCTCATTTTTCTTTATGACACTGTGATAAATTTATCTTGGACAGTTTTGTCCTTTACGACCTAGAAAGGAAAGACTCGTTCAAAATTTAACGACTACTTTATTGCCTTTACTGGAACCAAGAAACCGAGTCAAGGAAGTCGGTCTTACATGTCAAATTCCACACATACCCTTTTATAGCTCAGGTGCAACTAACTGTAATTTCAGGGTAAACTAGTCATTTAGTTCATCCCATTGTCAGTAAAAGAAACTTTTGCCCTTGTTTCGTCTGTACGGCTGTACCCCCATTTTTTCAAAAGAATAATGCTTCTCTTACAGTTTTCTTCACATTAATTTTTACAGTTTTTTTCCCCCAAAATTGTGAACTTCTCGTCTTCATTTATAACATCTATTCCTTCATTTTCTTTTCGGATGTATATATATTTTTTATTAAATTACAATAATTATTTTTATTGTTTATAATTATATTTAGGGAGATGCTACATGTACTACACGGGGTACAAAATGGGTTACTACATGGCCAAATGGCGGCCATGTATTGGAGGCTCGGCCGTGGGCCCCAACCCATTTTGTACAATTTGTAGTACACATAACATTTTCCTTATATTTTCTCAAGCGACAAAACAAATACTAAGGCCAGCATTGACGAATAGTAGCTTGACTCACATTTTGGTTAGGGAATCATCTTCGAGATGAACTTCAGGTATTTTATACAAGTTTTCTTGACATTTATCTTTTTATTTTCTATTTTTTTTCTTCCCAATAATTTGCCAAGTTTTGAGCTATTTTATTATTATTGTTCTTATTTTTTTTTACCCCAGGCTTTGTAATTCTCTACAAATAATGGTGTGCAAAAAGATACACATCTAGTTTAAAGAAACGCCAATTGCTACTCATTTTTGTAGGCGTCCGGCCATCTAGTGGAGTCAATTAAAGATAACTTGCAACCGAGCCGACAAATCCAAAATTTCAAATTGGGACAAATTAAAGGAATATATGAACGGTACTTAATTCTCGCATAATTTCACCCACCACTTACATATTTAGGAAATTCAGAAATAAATCTTACATGTTTTTAAGTTAGATAGAATTTAAAATCAAAATTGAATAGTTTTCCTTTTATTATAAATCGGCGGCTAATATTGCACAAGTAGTAGGTACTAGGAGAATCTGGAAGAGTCATCTATTTGGAATCTTCTTTTTTTACCAATTATTATACTCGTAGACTTAGGACTTTCTGTTAGGTTATAAAGACGATTCTGTCCTCATTTTTCTTTATGACACTGTGATAAATTTATCTTGGACAGTTTTGTCCTTTACGACCTAGAAAGGAAAGACTCGTTCAAAATTTAACGACTACTTTATTGCCTTTACTGGAACCAAGAAACCGAGTCAAGGAAGTCGGTCTTACATGTCACATTCCACACATACCCTTTTATAGCTCAGGTGCAACTAACTGTAATTTCAGGGTAAACTAGTCATTTAGTCCATCCCATTGTCAATAAAAGAAACTTTTGCCCTTGTTTCGTCTGTACGGCTGGTGTACCCCCCATTTTTTCAAAACTAAGGGAATCTTCTCTGTATCTTTCAGTTTTGTGTTTTGAATTCATTTTGATTCGTATTTTAAGTGTTTATTTTGATATTGTTGAAAATTTGTTCTTTTTAACATTTTGAAAAATTATTTTAAAAATACCAAAAACAGGTTTTCAAAATTTTGGCTTGATTATAACCGAAAACATAAAAAACGACAAATTTGTCGTTTTGTGTTTTTTTTTTTAATTTGTAACTTGTTTTCAAAAACGTGTTTCCGAAAATATGAAAGAGAACGCGTTTTCACTGTTTTGAAAAAAAAAAAAAAAAAAAATCGCCTGAAAATGGTAAAGAGAAAATGCCTTAAGTTTATTTCAAAATTCAAGTTCAAATTCTTTTTCTATTTTCTAACAATATATTTTCCTAAAAATCATTATTAAAATCCATTTTTCTCAAAAAATGGGGCACAAACGTGGACTTGTCTACACACGACTCAATTCATTGATTCAATAGATCAATGACGGAACCGTATCTCTAAGCCAATGGTCACAGCTTCTTCGGCTCGACTATGACGATGGGTCTCTACTCAAAGTGTTGCTCTTATATACAGATCAAGAAGGAACACGCTACTTTCGCCAATATTGCTATTGAAAAGATTGCCAGTGTTGTGGTTCGTCATCTTCTACGATAGAAGTGAAGGTTGTAAAGGAGTAGATCACGGTGGTGGGGACGGTGGAGGAGAAGAAGGTGTTTAGCAATAGGTGTTTGAGTTGTAACAAAAAGGTTGGGTTGACGAGTTTAAAATGTAAGTGCGATAGTTTCTTATGTGGGACGCATAGGTACACAGAGAAGCATAATTGTACCTTTGACTTCAAGTTACAAGGGAATGAAGCGATTGTCAAGGCTAACCCCTTTAGTTAAGGCTGACAAAATTCAAAAGTTTTCAAAAATCAGAACTCAATCAACACACGTGTAATTGATGATGGTGATGATGATGATGATGATGATGATGATGTGTAATTATATTGGCAAGACATCATGGTGACTTATTCTTTTGGTGATTTAATTCCATGTTAATAAAGTGGAAAAACCTGAAAATTAATTAGTTGTTTATTTAAATTTTTATAATTTATTATTAATTAGTGGTAGTGTAAAGTTGGATGGATTCTTGTTATCTTTGATAGTTTGATTGTTTTGGGTTTTAAGTTTGGAATATTAATTTATTTGTTAGAGGGTGTTTACGCTATGGTTTAAGGGAATTTTGAAAAGTTAAAATTTATACAAGAAAAATAGAATATATGTGATAATAAAAACAACACGTTTTGGTGCAAGAGAGAATTCGTTTCCGCGATAACGACTAAGGAAAGAAAATATAGGGATGTAAACAAGTTAAAACTGATTGATTCTCGAGATTTGTTTTATTAAACTCTCATTCCATCTATCTATTAATTTCATGCAAAATTAATTATTAATTATTTAAATTTGATAGGCAATTGTAGAATATTGATGAAAATAAACTATTTTAAATTTCAATATACATTATTATTTAAATAAATGACTAATTAACATCAAATTAATTGTATTTAAGTGTAAATTAAGAATTTACATTAAAAAAAATAAGATACTCTGTTTTTTTCCGTCATGTGATTAATGTGAATTTTAAAATGAATCAACTTGATCGATAGTATGTGGTTTGATTTATATGTTTATGATAATAATTGCTTGATCTCCATTTAAATTGAACAAAATATTTTTTTTAAAAGAATCTAAATTATCGTCTC